ATTTTTTTTTTTTTTTTTTCTTATTTTGTTCTTTTTTTTAATGTATTTTTATAATCATCTTTTTTCTTTTTTTTTATTTATTTATTTTTTTTCTTTTTAAATCTATTTTTTTAAGTATTTTTTTTATTCTTTTTATTTTATTTTTTTTTTAACTTTTTTTTTAATAATTTTTTTTTTTTATTTTTTTTTCATGATTTTTTTTTCTAAACATAGGTTACAAATCTTACTAATTACAGGCATACTTTACTATCAGACAAAAAGGTTATCAAGCAGTTATACATTTTCTTCTCATTGAGTGATAGTAGAAAGAGAATATTAACAGGAAGAGGGATGTTCTTGTCTATCATTCTTTTAATTAGGTTGTTGGTGGGTTGTTTATACCTTTGACACAGAATAATAAACAATCAGAAGGGCCACTCTCAGATGCCGCCTTTGAAGTTTTTCAGCACGCGCGCCATGTTTTAGGAGGACACAGACATATGATTTGTGTGGTTATGTAATTGTTTATATTTATGTTTAATTATATTATATTTATGTAATTATATTTAACAATGTTAATATAATTGTATAGTATGTCTATGATTGCCGTAAGTCAAATAAACCTGGTTAATTTTTCCACGCACACCACATAAACAACACTAATTTCTTTAAAATCCTCCTAAAACATGGCGGAACGTCTGCGCGGAGGAGATGCGCGTACTTAATTTTCCGTGGAGAGTGGGTATTCTGTTTGTTTATTATTCTGTGCCTTTGACATTCAAAAAATATGTGGTTTAAGTCACTTTTAATCTGACATTCTTGACAAATATCCGAATGTAATATATTTATTTTAAATAAATGTACAGGATAACATTCATGGCCAAATCCATGGCCTGGAATCTTATATGAACGACTTGGTTCATTCACAGATCACCTACCTCCCTAGATGTTCCACGACAATACTTTAGTTGGATATGAAATTCAGCGCTCCATAAGATTAGTATCGGAACTAATTCAAGCGAGAAATTACGCGGGAAATTCAAATTTTAATTTTGGTGGGAAAATTTAAATAAATTTTGAAATTTTTAAATATAATTTGGTATATTTGAAAAAAAAATGGATGACATTTTTAATTTCAAATATACACAATACAATTTAGGAAAAATAAAATAAAATGTAATTTATTTATTTATTTAATACTTGTAAAACAACTTTGTAATTTAATATAGAATAAAAATATGCTATTATCACTAAAAATTGTACAATTTTATGGAAAAAGCTTACAAAAAAGTCAGAAAAATAGCAATTGAAAATTTACTGAAATTACATAAATCGTCAATATCACAAAATAAAAAATAATAAAATACCCAATGTATTGCAAAATTTAAATAAATTGCATAATAAATCCTTACGAACTAATACATTTTAATACAAGTTTCTGCATGTGATACTCAAATATATATTTATACAAATTGTTTAGTTACTTGTACATAACACTATTCCTTAAGAAACTCTTCTACTGAATAATATGATCTTTCAGATAGATAGGATTTTGTTCTTTTACGGAACTCAAGGAAAGAAGTTGCAGATTTAAGTTCATCAATCAGTTATTTGTTCTCTAATATCAAATATTTATTGGACTCACCATACAAATGTAAGCTAGGAATTGCATTTTTATACAATTTATGACTCCATGAAGAAACAAACTTATCTTCAAAGTGTCTGTGGCAGATTCGTTTTGTTTTATAAACTGTACTAGCATTCATCATATCTAAATTAGGATTATTTATAACACTAAGCCACTTCCTAAATCGTGTAATGTCTTCATCAGGATTTGGAAAGGTATGACGAACTAGTACATTGTAGGATACAACATTTATTGTGAAAAACCATATTTAACTGATTATTATTAATCTGCAAAATACTATTTGAACACCGCCAGGAACATTTAAAACATAGATCACTGAGGTAGGTGATTTGTAATTTACAAACTAACAAAATCAAAATATAGACGCTAATATGACAATTGGCGATTGACAATTATAATTCTTTTCTTAGTTGTGTTCTAAACCTAAACTGCAGAGTAAAAGTAGAGACAGAGTAAAGCGACATCTGAAGATTAGTATCGGTACTACAAATGACATTAAGTTTAGTTTGACCTTGAGCTACTTACGTGAAACGTCTAGTTATTGTTATTAGTGGTCTGTGGGTTCATTCCCCCATCACTTTGACCCCAGCGAGTTAATAAAGAGAAATGACACAATGACAGCCTATCTCTCTCACGAAGACTTTAACCAATCATAAACCAAATAACATAATCAAACGAAGCAATGTCAATTCTGTCAATCCAAATTAATGACAGATCTTCCGTTTGTTTACAAGTTTTCAATTTTATTTTATTATCTTTAACTTTCGTTTGCATTTATTCTTAGTAATTTTAATTTAAATTTGGTTACTTAATTTTTAAAGTTTATTTTGAGTTACCTATTGTAGCAAAGAATTTTTGTGTTGTGCTAGTAACAAAACTAAACATAGTGAATTATTGTATTGTTCGTTGTGTACAAATCGTGGAAAAATTACAAAAAGAATGATAGTAAGTTGTCAGAAAGCCAAAAATAATAGTATTTAACTTCTGCAAATATGTGTAATATATATTATGTAATTATTTTATAACTGTTTTATCTTAAACAACAAATAAATATACGTATATCTAGAAAAAATTGTGCATCTTATATTCCAATTCCAATAAATTTTAATTAGTAACGAAATAGCCCACAAGAGGCGCTAAAGGGTATGTATGTAAGGGGTGTTCATTCGAATTTGCCGCCAAAAGATGATTAGTATTGACCCCAGCCGCAAGGGGCCTAATGAACGAAATTTATACATTGAGTTGCCTATCTATTTCTACTATTATATTATTTATCTATGGCCAAATCTAAGTCTACTGATGGTAGTTATGTATTTGCGAGGGAGGACGAAATTCTTATACCAGGGTTGTTTTGGAATAATTGGTTGTATCAAACTGTATTGTGTTGTTGAAATACTAGAGTACTTTTCCCAGTGTTCTCTCCAGTTGTTCATTTGTTTAGTTCTTGAACAAGCAAAAGCATCTATATTGCAAGGTTGGTAGTTTGTGAGTGTTCCATAAACGATGGAATTTTTTGCTAACTGGTCCACGTGTTCATTGTATGTAAGTCCTGAATGTGCTTTGATCCACATCAATTGTATTTTTTGGGTGTATTTATTAATTTCAAATAAGCAATTTTTAATTAAAAAAATGTATGGATTAGAAGTACTACAGGGTAGTTGCGGTTTTTGAATAGCTGTAAGTGCAGATAATAAATCAGATAAAATTACTGCTGAACTATACGATGCCAATTTAAAATAATTTAAAGCCTCATATATGGCCACAGCCTCAGCACTAAAAATAGAGAAATTTGTGGGCAGCTTAAACATTTTTCCTATAAATTTATCTGGAATATAAAAGGCACAACCAGTACCCTTTGAACTTTCAGATGCGTCTGTATAAATACAAACAGATTTTGGCCAGTTTGTCAGATAGTTTTTTAAAACAACACGACTTATTAAAGGGTTCTCATGATAAATAGGTTGTATTATATGAACTTGATCCAGTAACTCAAAGAAATCTTTAAAATGTACTACTTTATTTGCAACTATAAGTTCAGTATCTTTATTTGCAGTATTTCGAAATGCTTCGCATAGCGGTGGAGAATTCTTGTGAGTCCAATATTTATTTGTTAAGTCGAAATAATTTAAAATACTAATATCTTTATATAAACAAGTGTTGTAGCAACAAACTTTAAGAAGAAATTTTTGACTGAGATATTCTCTTCTAAATTTACTGGGCGGTTCCATTGTCTCAACATAAAGTGGTTCAATAGGAGTAGATCTCATGATAGCACCAATGCAACACCGCAAAACTGTGTTTATAAAAACATCTATACGACGTAAAATATTGTTACTAGCGGAGCCGTAAAGTACAGAGCCATAATCTATAATGGACCTGATATAAGAACGATAAAATAGAAGACACGTTTCAACATCTGCACCCCACCAAGTTTTTGAAATTGATTTTAGAAAGTTTAGTGCTTTATTACATCTATCAAGCATAAAATCAACATGCAGTTTCCAGGTCAGTTTTGTATCCAAAATCATACCCAAATATTTTATTGACTTACAGAGGGGAAAATAATTATCATTTAATTTTATTTCTTCTCCTTGAGACAAGTTATGTCTAGTGAATATACAAATGTTAGACTTGTTGTTTGCCAACTCAAAACCATTTTTTTTTTAAACCACCTACACCAATGTTCATGAACACTTTCCAATGTGTTTAAGCCGTTATTGTAACTTTTAGATTCCGTATAGATACAGAAGTCATCTAAAAACATACAAAATATTAGTTTTTTTTCATTTTGTACCATACGCATAGTGCATTCTAGCGGCAAGTAGCTACATTAATATGTCTTGGAATGAAAAATAACTAGTTTTTACAGTTTTCAACTATTGATGATTCGTAGTTCAAACGTTATGTGTAAGCTGGTGTAACGAAGTAATGTCACTGTCAAGTCAATTGAAAGTGAAAAAGTCAATATTAAAATTTTATTACTTTTAAGCGAATGCACTCAAAATATGAATGAAGTCACGTTTCTGTGGAAGGGTTAATAATGTATTAGAAATATGTGTTTACCCATGTAAACTTGGAAAGTATTGCCATACGTTAACCACACACTTACGGTTTAAAATTTCCAAAAGCTGTGTCTAATCTTATTAACCCAGTTGCAGTCACCGTTTCTATCTATCTACAATTAATTTAAGTATAAATATAAGTATTATTAGGTAGTAAACTTCAGTGCTGAATTTATATACGTGTTCGTTAGTTATCAGTCTGTACCCATTCACCGATCAAAGCAACCAAAGTTCAACCTACTTATCAGTGAAAGTTAAGTAGTGAAATTGATATATCACTTATAGTGTGATATAATACTAAAAGATAAAGGATGGCTGGCATGGCATCTAGAGAAGATATTTATAAAAAACAAAAAACATGCTTACAAGTTGCAACGAATGTCACTGAGCAAAAGCATCATGTATCAAGGGCTAAAAGGGGGCAAATCCTGGGGCATCTGCGAGGATTTAGGGGGTGTACAGTTTGGTTTACAGGTAAGCAATTTTAAATTAAGAGTTGCCTTATGTACATTCGATCGATTAATAAACTTTGCTTTGTTAAAAAACCTATATAAAGTACATGTAAAAGGGAAGATGTTAAATAACATTATACATATTAAACTAACATATAATTAATTAATGTATGACATGTATGTATTAACTATAAATTAAATAATGACATAACCTTGTTGCAGCAGTGTGAGACTTACTCACTTTTTTTTTAATGATTGAATGTGTAAACAGCTAAACAAACAGCTAAATGTTTTCTTTAAAATGTCTGTTATAATATCTGTATTTTAAAAACAAGTTTTAACTAGATTCTTATACTGAAAACAGTACACTGGACCTATTTGATAGATTTTTGTTTTGTTTTGCCCCAACAAAATTTCTCTCTCTGCTTTCAATCCACATTTTTTATTTTTTACATAGAATAACTTACCCTCTCATATTTCATTTTTTTGTTGTTATTGGTATTAAGTTCATTGAGAGTTTGATAATCTTGTTCTTAGCCAGTGTTCACTGTTTTGAATTAATCTATAGATTTTTGATTTCATTATATTGTTTTTATTTTTTATTTATATTTTGCTATATTTTAAGTTTTCTCTATTTACAATTTAGTTTCTCAGACAAATTTAATTATAATATTTCTAATAATGCATTTTTTCCTATTTTATTTGATTTCTTCAATCTAAATCCTTTTTTACAATGTATTTTTTTTGTTTTGTTTATTTTTGTTTGTCTAAATATTACTGTCATACCTAGGTACTGTTTGATTGCATTTTTGTCAATATCTGTTTTTTAGTATCTCTCTGATCACTTTTGTTGTAAATAACCAATATTAAAATATATGTTTTTATTTAAATAAATGTGGGCGAAACATAAATACAAACTGTAATTAAGTTAAAAATTCAACAATAAATCAGAATAAATATTTATTACATATCATGATACTATAATAAAACAAGATAAGTCAACACGTATGTTCTTGTGACGTAAGCCTGAGACAAGTTGTCAAAATGCCAAATTGACAAAATTAATGACAGCAAGTTACACTTTAAAATTAAATTTAAATTTTTCATTTGATGCATTTCTAGTTATATAAATAAAAAGAATTAATATTAATAATAGCAGAGAATTAATATATCAATATTATAACAGCAGAGTAAATGTTTCTATGGATAATAATAAATGTTTCTATAGATAATAATATATACTAATGCCCATTTTAATAGAACTTAAAGTAATACTTTATTTTTGATAGGTCTTTAAAAAAAGTTACTTTGGATGTATGTAGTGAACTGGAACATATTTTTCGTAGTTATAATGGTGACACATTAAAAATAACAAAAAATTGTTTAAAAAACTTAATAGAAGCTGCAAAATATGTAAATGTTAGCGAAGATATAAAATTACTTTTTTTAGATGTAAAATGTATTTTAAAATACAAATTCTAAATCAAAATATTAAAGATAATTACAATACTACAAAAGAAAACTCACAAAGATTGTAAAATAAATGTCTAAATAATATTCATAAAGTCTCAAGTTTGACCCGCTTTTCCTTTATGGTCAAATTCTTTACATTTTGCCAGCCTTTTTATATTTAATTTATGTTTTGTAGCAATATTTATTTTGTTTGTAATACACACAATCAAATCGTAGATTCATATATTTCTTTAATTAATTTTACAAATTACATTTACAAATTACCATATGTTGCATAGTTAAAATATGATACAAACAAGTCCCCTGGCTTTGTCTCACCATGACAACATGCGCAAAGTCAATCAAAATTAGAACGGCAAGTGAGCATATCTTGTTTGTTATAGTATCATGATTACATATATCAATACATAATACAGTAAAAACTTCCAATAGATACCACTCTCAGGGAATGAAATGCTGGTGGTAAAGAGGAGTAGTCATTTAAGAGAGAACATAAGAAAATTAAACCAACTGATCTGTATTTTATGCTGTTTGTTTACATTTGAAGGCTACAGGGGAAAAGGGAAGAATGTAACTTTTGATTAATTTTTCAGGAGAGCATTTTCAAAGTTATAAGACTAATATTAAGGATATATTTTGTTATATATGATATTTTTTTTAATCATACGTTTGGTATGTTTACACTGTGGTTTAAAATTTATTATGTAATTTGAATAGCTGTAGAACACCACATTGTAATAAATAAAATGAGAGTGTGATTTTACAACCTTAGCTTCTCAGAGAGGTCTGGTTTTAAAAGGACACTTTTTGGTGTAAGTTTTGGTCAGGTGGTTTGACCATTTCGTAAATAGCAGCTGATCCACCTCTGTTACATTAAAGGGAGAAGGTTTCACTCTAGTTTATTGAAAAATCTCCATCCATTCATTTGGCTGCTCTGCTCTAGCTTTTTGGTTAATTAGAACCATATTAATATCTATTTCAAGACATGAATGGGCCCTTATAGGAAAACATATTTTTATTCTATCAAATATTTTTTGTGCACTAGGTTATGGAGAAGTCTTAAAATAGTATAATTCTTGTTTTGTCTCCACATGAATCACAGAACGTAGAAATATGTTGGACATTTATATTAAGATTATTGTATACCAAATTGTGAAACATTGAGCACACATCATCACTACCTTTTTTCCCACTGTTTCAAGATAAGTATAAAATGTACTGGCTCCAGTTGATGAAGTGGGACATTAAAACTTTACAAAAAAGTTGGTGCTTGTAGTAGATGTCATTTATAGAAATGTGAAGTGTTGATAGGTTTTTCTGGAAATCAAAACAAGTTGCTTCTTCATTGCTGCTTTTTCTGCTTCTTTTGTAGCTTCTTATTTCCCCTTATAAAATGTGTGCCCTAAATTTATGGAGTTTATTTTCATTTTCTAAGCGACTTATTTCATTGTCCAGCCTAAAAACACAATCATCTCCTGAAATAGTGTTAGCCTTTTCAATGTCTAGGTTCTTTATTTTCACTTGGAACTCATCACATGTACTGCACATGTCTTTCCTGGGATACCCAAATGACAAATTAAATTCAGTTGAGAAATTTTTTCTGTAAGTTTCATGACATTTTTAAATTTGGATATTTTTCAGTATACATTTTGTGCATTTTATTAATAATTAGCTCCTCTGGTGAGTATATTTTGGATGATTCTGAAAAGTTGTAATAGCTTTTTCTGTGCTTAAACGAACTAATGTGGTTCATTACTGTTTCTTCTTCTTTTTTGGAGAGTTTCCTAGGTCTTGAAGAATGCTTTCCTCTCTGATCTCTTGGAAACATGCCAAATTCTTTTAAAGATTTTTGAAGGACCTCCACCTTTTTCTTGGTTATACCATGGATAGCCATAAAAGCTTTAAAGCAAACCTGCACTTCTTAAGGTGTGGTAATTAGACTGCATAAATATGAATTTTGTTCATCAACAGAACACATTAAATTAATTTGCTTGAAAATACTGTTCCTACAGCATTCAGAAACATTTTGAAAACATTGCAATCTTTCACAATGACAGTCAGGCCCTGGAACATGGCTTTGTAATCTAAGTTTTTTACTTGCATTAGTCATGCAGCCAAACGATTTTCTTTTCTTACTTAACTTTACATTTGCTAAACTACTTACATCCATATCACTTATTTCTTCATCCCTTGGCATAGTAAAATGATTTTGTATCAGTAACTTGAAGAAATTAACCTCAAAGTAACACACGAAAACAATGAGTAACATTAAAAACATGTTAACTTGTTTCTGCGTGATTCAAACTGACATTCCCCCTTCTTAACTGGTAACATCTTGACATTTCTCTTTCTTCTTCTGTATAGGTATTTTATTATTCATGTTATCTCATGACACAATTCAATTTTAACCAGTGTTATTTATGTACAGTGAAGTACAGAATATAACATATCTAATCAATTATTAAAACAAAAAATGAAAATTTCTGACTTTCCTCCTTTTTACCCTGTACTCTTCATTTTTAATATAATTTCAATTAATTATAAATTTCAATTTAAATCAATTTAAAAATAGTTTACATTTTTTTGACACACTGTGTGGTTAAATTTTTATTTTTACAAAATTCAGATTCACATTTTATTAAAAGCTTAGAAATATTTGTGGACATCAAGGGCAGATACATGGAGGGAATAGAAAAATTTCCCCCAAAGACAATCCAAAATTAAAGATAAACCAATATTTATGTCTCTTGTGTAGTTTGGGTTTATCTTTTTGGTTGGTGTTTCATGTGTTGAAAGGTCCCACCCAAGGTAAATGTCCATATCTACAACTGGTAAACATAACATAATTGTTTTCATTATTAAAAAAGTTTCTGAGACTTACACAGGCTTGATATATTCGACACTGAAAAAACTTCAGGTCCTTCCTCCTCAGTTTCAGAGTTAGGAGTAGTTTCATTTATTTCTGGTAATTCTTCAATCAAGGCAAATTGTTCTAAATCAACTAATGTATCTTACTTACTTACTCCGTGGCGTTACAACCCTTCGTGGGTTTTAGCCGACTCGACAACATGCCTCCACTGTTTTCTGTCTTGAGCAACCTCCATCCAATTCTCCACGCCCATAGTGCTTAGGTCTGCTGCTATATTATCTCGCCACCGAAGACGAGGGCGTCCGCGTGGTCTCCTTCCAGTTGGGACTTCCTCCCACACCAGTCTTACTGTTCGTTCGTCAGAATGTCTTCTGAGGTGTCCTGTCCATTGGAGTCTTCTGGACTTTATTTCTTTTATGATGTTGGCGTCTGGGTAAAGTTCTTCAAGCTCTTTATTAGTTCTTATCCTGATATGGTGCTGATGCTTCATCAAGCACCGGACCAAAGATCTTCCTTAGGATTTTTCTTTCTCAAACACGTAGTCTCTCTTCATTTGCCTTTGTTATTGTCCACGTTTCGCTTCCATACATCACAACGGGTCGTATGATTGTTTTATAGACCTGTATCTTCGTACGTCGTGTTAGTTGTTTTGATTTTATAAGGTTTTGGAGGGCAAAAAT